GCAGGTTTTTCTAAAGTGGAGCAACTTTAATATGGGATGAAATTTCAATTAATAGTCTGTTTCAGGTTATTTGGAACAGAAGCTCTGGCATTGGTTTGTGGCATTTTCAAGCAGTGATATCAACAGTGGGAAGGGGAATTGTCAAAATCTAAATGAGAAATTTCACACTGACACTAAAGCCTGTCACTTACAAAGTTAATTTGACCACTTTTTCATGGCGTTCGTGTGGGCGAGAAGTTGGGATTCAAATATGTAAGGTGACGTGTCATTTAAAAAAGTGACAGCAGCTTCAACAGTGTGTTGCATAAGTTTCTACACTGTAAAACAAATATTGTTGGTTTAACTTAAGCTGGTTGCCTTAAAATTTGAAGTTCATTGAAATAGAAAAATTGAGTCAATACAATGAAGGAGATCGATTTAATCACCAGAAACTCAAAGTATTGTGTTATCTGAACTACATAAATTATTTAAGTTGATTTAACAAAAGAAAAAATGTTGTTATTACAAATCATGAAAAAAAAAAATTTTTTACAGTGCATTCGACTTTTAAAACAAATGTAAGCAATATTTTTTATAATATTCATATAATTCTTATAAACATCATATTTTAGATATTTAATTTGATACAACCCTCCTCCAAAAATACAAAAAAAAAACCTTTACACATTTATTAAAAAGTGTCAAAAATGTTGACCAGTTCCCTAAAATATACAATTTTAAAAATTAACAATGTATAAGCAGTGTAAATGTAAAAAAAAAAAAAAAAAAAAAAAAATTAGAAGAATTTCGAAGAATATAGAAGAATATCAGTAACCCAGACAGTTTCTGGTTCCATTGACTTCCATAGTATTCCTACAGAAACTTTCTGATATTCTTCTAAATATCAGAAAATCGGCTGAATGGATTCAAAAATGGTAAAACTCAACTGTTTTACTCTTAACTCTTGTAAAATTAGCCTATTTCCAAAAAAAGTGGAGTATCCTTTTAAGGGTTATCATTGTGTTGAAGTGTTGTAGAGTCTGTGGTTATAGGTCAAGGATGGGTCAAAGAATATTGTGATTATATTAATGCTGAGTGATGCTTTATTTAAAACACAATAATTGTCCACAAACTAATACAGTGCTAATCTGCTAGTTATGTTAGCACATGCATGTGCACTACTGCTGTGCTAGCTAGTAATTGACTGCAAAAGATTTATGTTAAAATAATGTTTCTAATTTTAAGGATTTCACTCTATTCAGTTAAGTTTTAGTCACTTTAAGTATTTATAGTGCAACTTAATTATAAAAATGCTATTTTTAACGGACTATTGAAATAGGTCCACAGTACTCATAAATATTGTTTTTTTTAACTTCAATGGTTAAACCATTTCAATGGAAACGAAAAATGTATCATCAATTCATCAATTCCTCACCCTCAGGTCATTCAAACCAATAAGACTTTTGATATTTTCATGAAATCTTAGAAATTTCTGTGTCTCCATTGAAAGTCCACACAACTACCTCTTTGCCGCTTTTTCTTCATAAAGAGATCGTAAAACCAATCCATATGAATCTAGTGGTTTAAATTCTCTGAAAATACACTATCACTATATATGATGAAGAGATTTAATTTAAGCGTATTCACACACACATTCGTCTACTCACACATCAGTTGTGGTAAACGAAGCTCAAGCATGTTTGCGCGCGAGAACCAATGAGGTTCATTCTCATGTGCTATGCAGCAAGGTTGAGCTTCAGCAAGAACCAGTGAGGTTTGTTCTTATGCGTCATGCAAGTACGGTTGAGCTTCTGTTCTCCAATCAACCTTTATATTTGAGTAAAAGCCTTAATTCAATTTGTTCATATATAATGCGATCGAGTATCTTCAGAAAATTTCAAATTTCACAATTCATATTGATTAGTTTTACTATTAGTTGATTAGTTAACGCAACAAATTGGTAGTTGCATGGGCAGTCAATGGAGGGACAATGTTAAAATGTAAAAAATCTTAATTTGTTTTTCAAAGATGAATGAAAGACTTACTGGTTTGGAACAATGATTTCCAAACCAGTGAGTAACCAATTACTGAGGTAACCAAAGTAATTGATTACATTTTTTTTAACTAACCCTTTAAAATCTGCATAAAAACAGAAGTTGCAATAATCTTTTCTTCCCAATTGTGATGAAAAATGTAGGGCAGAACTTGATTTTGTTTATCTGGAATTGATTGGATCATTGGATCATTGGAAGAGATTTGTTTGCAAGAGGGAGTTATTATTGAAGAATAATGCAAAAAAGGCTTTTTTTTATATATGATTTGTCAATTTTGATTTCATGGTGACTTTAAAACTCTTAGGGCCCTATTTTAACGATCTGAAATCAAGCGCAAAGAGCAAGTAACTTTGTGGGCAGATCTTGGGCGCTGTTGCTATTTTATCGGCGGGAAAAATTACTCATGCACCTGACGCAAGTTTAAAAGCAGTTGGTCTGAAGTAACTTCATTACTCATAGGTGTGATTTGGGCATGACGTGAAATAAACCAACCAGGGGTGCGTTTCCCGAAAGCATCGTTAGCCAACTATGGTTGCAAGTTCCGTCGTTATCTGCATAGTTTAACGAGTCGGTGTTTCCCGAAACCATCGTTCCAACGGACATTTGCAAACAACATCGCAAAGTTGTGTGGTTTGAACGACAGCTCTCGACCTGTGGTTAGAGGCATCATTTCTATATTGCATCACATTTGGAGGTAATAAATCCTTATCTTGAGCAAAATAAGCAAGCTGACATTCAGTACAACCGGTGCCTTTTATTTAGAATACATACAAATGTAATTTACGTCTTTTAGTTTTTCAAAAATTTTTTAAGTAACGTGTTTGAAGAGTGCGCATGTGCGAACGTGCTCTACTATGTAAGAACGAGCCAAATATTGAGTCTGCTAATAAAGCAGAACAACTGAGAACAATTAGAAATAGTCCTCAAATTACATGTCTGTCATTTATATAAAACAAATCTAGCGTTAATTGGATCTCAAACAGTTTTATTCAAAGCAGTTATTACTCCACCATGTGCGAAACCAACGTGGTTGAACGATACTTTGCGAGAGTTTCGGAAAACAGCCGTGACTAGCTAGTTGATTTTTCCAACGATGCATCGTACTATGGTAGTGAAACAGTGAACTACGTCATTGTACGGGAAACACACCCCTGAACGTCATCCAACATACCCTTTCAGAGCAGGTGCGCATGTTGCATGGCGGATTAGCGCGTCATAAGCGGTTCACAGACCGACGTTCTTGTCAGGGCAGTGAAAGACAGAGAAGTGACGTTGTATGGGGATCGGAGATTTTTTTTTCCTGGTTCTTGATGGACAAACTAATTTGTCAGATGTCCTTATATACATATGTGTCTTGCCACTGTTGGGCAAACAGGTCTGATCTGTCATTACCACAATCTATATTTTTTTACATCTTCATGGACACCACAATGATTTCCCTCATGTGTTAATATGTTGCCTTGTTATAATGTACAATTTGCAAAAAATAAAAACTGCTACATCTGTGTTGATGAAAGAATCAAAGTGTATGCACATTGTGCACTTGCTACATTATGGCTATTGGCCAAGTATGCGCGCTTAAAATAGCATTATGAACAACGTGAAATGCGCCACTGACTTTAAATCAGGTTTTTTCTGGTCAAAATAGCACCAGGGTTTGCGCCGAAACACGCCTCCTTTTTGTGCCGACCCGCCCAGGGAGCGCAAGCTTAGTTTACTGACTTGCGTCTGTGGAGGGAAATGCTCGTATTGAGCGGGTGCAAAATAGGAATGATACATGCGTCAGTAGGGCTGGGTAATAAATATGTTTTTTACGAACCAATATCGATTCTTAAATCTCAAAAATCGATTAGTCATCCTGTTAGTCATCCATTTGAATTGATGGAACATTGTATCGTGGCTGCACGCATCCAAAAAAATCGTAATAATCTTTGTCCTTTGTTATTAATATGAAACAAAGTCTCAATTTTCAAATTACGTCCATTTTCTTTAGATATTCAAAATCATAAATAACGTTTTCGCTGTGGCGTGAGATCGCTCTGGCGCAGCTCAAGAGAAGCAGCAGCGCTGATCTCTCTTCCGGGTTAATAATACCAGTTACAGCGCGAAATAAACATGAATGAGCATCTGAAAGTGTGTTAAAAGATAGAGTACAGCTTATCGAAATCCGTATCATGTCACATTGATTCGCTCAATCAGCGTTTCAACCGTGGAAAGACGTCAGTTAAACAGCTTGTAATCAATGTCATGTATCGTCATTACCTCAGAAAACCCACATAAACTCGTTAGTCAGCTAGAAAAAATAACTCCAGAGAGGAGCATTTTGCTAAATATATACACCATATTACATATGCATTATAATCTTAATGTTCTTCAATATTTAATGCATATTTGAATAAATCAGGCAAGTTTTTATGACAGCCACCATTTAAATGTTTATATTTCATATAATCTTCTTATTATAAAAATAAATAAAAGTGTAATTTAAATGTTTGTATAGCTACAAAACAGTTAACTATTACCTTCATATTAGGCTAATGAAGTCTAGTAGGCTACAACTAGACTCCCATAGTTTACAGCATTAGTTAAGAGATTTGATTCCCTTTAGAAAAATTGCCATTTATTGTAACTGATATCCAAAATAATCAATATTGAATCGAATCGAATCGTAATCGAAATCGAATCGAATTGCAAGCCTGTGAATCGAAATCGAATCGAATTGTGAAATTTGTGTCAATACCCAGCCCTATGCGTCAGTGTATAAAGTCATTTGTGCCGGGTGCAAGATAGGGCCCTCAGAATTTAACCATTATCCAAATATTAATACAAGGGCCGTAGACCATAGACACGCTCCCCAACATTGAAATGAAGTGATTGATTTGTATGATTCTCTTTCAATCACTGATTGTTAAAATTGAGCATTTTATTGTGTTTCCATCTCTGAATATGTGCTGTTCATTTCGGCAGGAGTTGAATCCTGGCGAGAGCCACGAAAGACTTCGAAGAGTCGACTCTAATCGGAAGTCTCGTAGCTTCAGCAAGCAGCCCAGCACTGGGGATTACTACAAAACCCTGGGTAGCGATACCACGGACCAGTACCCCAACAGAGCCATGGCACCCAACGAGGAGGTAAAGCAATTACATATTCATGTTCATATTTTTCCAATTTCAGTAAAAGTATGAATAGTTATCTGTATGCTTGCTACATCTTAAAGGCAGGGTTGGCAGTTTGTTTCTAAAACACTTTGTCCCAAATTTGTTTAAACTGTCTTTATATACCAATAAATATCTAAAATGTAAGTACTCTGAAAAGGAGAGTATAAAAATCGAGTGTCTATAGTCCTCTCAGGGCTGCAATAAACACAGCTACTCTTTCCATTTGGAATGAATGAAATGATTGGCTGGGGATTGTCACCAGGGCCTGAAATTAACACCCGACCACCTGCCAAATGTGGGTGAATTTTGCTATTGGCAAAATATTGGTAACACTGCCACATTGGCAGGTAGCCAATGAGAATTGAGTGATTCATTAGGATTTTTACATTTCAACGAAGTCCACTATTGCGTTGGACTTTAGCTAAAATGTGGCGGCACATTGGTAAAGTGGCCAGCTGAAACAACAACCAACGGATGAGGATGAGAAAAAGAAAAAGAAAAGTAAAAGAAGACATTTTAATACAAAGTGGACAATTGGCGGCAATGGCAAGGTTCGTGAGCGGCTGATTTATGACAACGACTGTTGTTTCGTAACGTTTATTCGATCAAAAAGAAGATGAGGCCCTTTTCCGACTACGTTTGGATGTGCGAGTATTAAACTGTTGGTGAGATGGGATGAGATAATGTAGCGCTGACGTAGGCTACAGTACAATGACAGATGCACAGATGTGTGTGCGTGTGCAACTGTGCATGTTGGGAGTTGGGAACCTATACTATATATACATATATGTTGTTTGTGTGTGTGTGTCAAAATCATTGAATAAAAAGATTTTAAAAAATGTATGTTCTTAGAATTATTATTACTTGACTGCACTTAAATGTGTATTCTTACATGTTAAAGAACAATATTGTGAAATTCCCATTTTTTTGCACCTTTATTAGGCAAAAAAAAAAAAAAAGGCTGGTAAAAAGTCTCTGTGGCAGGTGAATTTTTAAATCCACCTAGCACAGTGGTCGGTGGCCGAAAAAGTTAACTTCAGGCCCTGACTGTCACTCTCCCTTGCTACCATGGCTACCACCCCTGCTGCTACAGGAGCTGTGTTTTGGGGTTGTGGCTTTGGAAGGAGCCAAGAAGGGACCTTAAAGTCGACATGAAACGGAAGTTTTTTCCTTGATTTCATCAAGATAAACGTTTGCATTGTCAAACAAATGAGTTTTGGAAACGGGGTGGGAAAAACAGCATCTCTTTGTCATAGCAGCTCAGCCAGGTCTCGTCCCCTTTTTGCGTATTTCGTGGGAGTAAAATTGAAAAAGTGAAAACACATAATAGGGTCCCTTTAAAAGGATTTAAATGCTTGTATTTCATAGAGACAAAGTGTTTGTGCTTTGCAATTTTAGGATCTTATTAAAAACAATGCATTTCTACACTAAAATGCTCACACTTGAATGATAAATGTATCGATAGCAGGAAACAATGTCTTCCATCATGTGACTTGGAAAACCACAACCATTATGGTTGCAGCTGTTTCCTGGCCAGTCAGCTGTCTTCTTTCTAAATGAAGCTGGTTTCACTTCATCACCTGTCACATTGCAACATAAATCCATGCAAGGTGTGGCATCCCAGAGCTATCGTTGCAGTTCAACATTTATTGTAAACACATTGGGCTACTGGGTAAACAGTACTGCTTTTCTTTATTGTGTTATGGAAGTCTGACGGCTGGGCCTAGAAGTATTGTGTTTGCTCCTGAACTCTCCATTAACTAGCGCAGATTTCTCCTATTATAAATGAAGGATGACTCATGGGAAAGAAAATTTACATTTACCTTTCAATCAATTCAATCCAATTTGAGGGATAGATATACAGTTAAAATCAAGTTTAGGCCGGAGACACACTGACTGCGTGGTGTGAGGGTGGCGTTTCTGTTGCGTGTCAGCTGTGTGGCGGCTGCGTCGCGTTTTCTGTGTCTTTGCACACCAGAAACGTGTCTGACGCGGCGCTGCTGCTGCTAGGTGACAGAGGGACAGTCTACATTTGGATTAGCGGTGTGTTGCTCTTGCCTTTACAACAACCATTTCAACTATTATCACATCTTCCAAAATCCGTAAAACAGGGAAGTGGGCTGTCTGTTTATTTCTATACATTTACACATTTTGTGTAGCTTTAAAGAGCCTATATTTAGCCTGATGGTGGACCATCTCTCCGAAGACAGAACATTTTTTTTTAAGGTTTTTTTTTCTACTTCATGTAATCACATTGTTAAGTATGGAAGCTTGTTTCCGCCACAGAATGAAAAATAAAAAAAGGTAATTACGATTGCGAATTTTTATCTCACAATTCTGACTTTTTTTCTCACAATTGCGAGTTTACATCTCACAATTCTGACTTTATTTCTCAGAATTGCAAGATGTAAAGTCAGAATTGCGAGATATAAAGTCAGAATTGCGCGATATAAAGTCAGAATTGCGCGATATAAAGTCAGAATTGCTGGTTATAAATGTCACGTGTCTGTCCTGTCGTGTTAGCACATGGGTGGTTTTGTTATGTTGAGCCATGTGCTCCTGTCATTGTTTGATCCTCCCCCTCGTTACCTGATTAGTGTTTGAGTTCTCCCACCTGTTCCCTCTTGATTTGTTCCCTATTTAAGTTCCTTCATGTTTGCAGTCTGTGTTGGATCTTTGTCTTATATTTCCCCTGTTCCTCGGTGTTATTCATGGTCAGTGTATGGTATTTCAGTTCAAGTTCAGTTTTATGTTTTGTTGAGTATGTTTTTCCCCCTCGTGGGTTTCTGCTTTGTGTTTTGTTTTATTTTGTTAATAAATCATCCCTTCACTGCACTTGAGTCCTTCCCTTCACTTTTGTTAAGTGTATCGTGACAATAAAGTCAGAATTGCGAGATAAAGTCAGAATTGCGAGATAAAAAGTCAGAATTGCGAGATATAAAGTAAGAATTGCGAGATATAAAGTAAGAATTGCTAGTTATTAAGTCAGAATTGTGAGATATAAAGTCAGAATTGCGAGATATAAAGTAAGAATTGCGAGATATAAAGTCAGAATTGCAAGATAAAAAGTCAGAATTGCGAGATATAAAGTAAGAATTGCGAGATATAAAGTAAGAATTGCTAGTTATTAAGTCAGAATTGTGACATATAAAGTCAGAATTGCTAGTTATAAAGTCAGAATTGCAAGATATAAAGTCAGAATTGTGAGATATAAAGTCAGAATTGCTAGTTATAAAGTCAGAATTGCGTGATATAAAGTTAGAATTGCGAGATATAAAGTCAGAATTGCGAGATATAAAGTCAGAATTGCGAGATATAAAGTAAGAATTGCTAGTTATTAAGTCAGAATTGTGACATATAAAGTCAGAATTGCAAGATATAAAGTCAGAATTGTGAGATATAAAGTCAGAATTGCTAGTTATAAAGTCAGAATTGCGCGATATAAAGTTAGAATTGCGAGATATAAAGTCAGAATTGCGAGATATAAAGTCAGAATTGAGAGATATAAAGTCAGAATTGCGAGATATAAAGTCAGAATTGCGAGATATAAAGTCAGAATTGAGAGATATAAAGTCAGAATTGCGAGATATAAAGTTAGAATTGAGAGATATAAAGTCAGAATTGCTAGTTATAAAGTCAGAATTGCGAGATATAACGTTAGAATTGAGAGATATAAAGTAAGAATTGCTAGTTATAAAGTCAGAATTACGAGATATAAAGTCAGAATTGCGTGATATAAAGTCAGAATTGTGAGATATAAAGTCAGAATTGCGAGATATAAAGTAAGAATTGCTAGTTATAAAGTCAGAATTGCGAGATATAAAGTCACAATTGCGTGATATAAAGTCAGAAATACAAGATATAAAGTCAGAATTGTGAGATTTAAACTATTCTGAGGGGGAAAAAAGTTAGTATTTTTTCCCCCTTAGAATTAGCCTGATAACTCGCAATTGCGAGTTTATATCTCGCAATTCTGAGAAAAGATGTCAGAATTTCGACAATTATGTGTTATAAAGTCAGAATTGCGAGATGTACACTCGTAATTGTGAGAAAAAAGTCCGAATTGTGAGATAAAAAACGACGATCGCCATTCTGACTTTATATCTCGCAATTCTGACTTTTATATCTCACTATTCTGACTTTATATCTCACAATTCTGACTTTATATCTCGCAATTCTGACTTTATATCTCGCAATTCTGACTTTATATCTCGCAATTCTGACTTTATATCTTGCATTTCTGACTTTATAACTCACAATTCTGACTTCATATCTCGCAATTGTGAGATAAAAGTCGCAATCATTTTTTTATTTTTTTTATTCAGTGGCGGAAACAAGCTTCCATATTTAAGAGCATGAGAAACAGATGAAAAAAAGATATTTTATTCATATATTATGCTATGACCTCTGTATTGGACAATATAATGGCAATAGTTGAAAATCGATAACTATTTTTATTATTGTTTGTTTAAATTACATTGATGTCTGAATTTATGTCAAAACCTAGACTTTCAAACATCAGAATGTAATTTATTAATATGTATTCGTGTACAAAATTACATATAAACATTGTTTCCTATTGTTTTTTTGCCTGGAAACGCTTCCAACACGTTTGCGTGTCGCGTGAAAAATAAGCGCCGGTTCTATTTCTAGCATGCACGCATTTCCACGAGGCTTATGCTGCGCCTGAGTGTTCAAGCTCTAATCTGTTAATATGGGAGCCGAAATAAAAACGGACACGCCACGCAGCCAGTGTGTCTCCGGCCTTAGGCTTAAAACAAGTGTTAGGGGCTTCTACGCCATTCTTATTCATCTGTCATTTCCCTCTGATTTTAGGGATACGTTATGGGAAGGTTAGGTTTAGGGGTAGGGATTTAGGGGTTAGGACTATTGTATGTTTTTGGGGTTGTTTCACGATAAACAAAATACATTGCATCAAACCTGTATTTCTGACTTTCTTTCTTCCATGGAAT